GCAGCACAACTCAGTGACCTAGTGCTCTGTGACCCAGGCCTCAGGACCACACAGGCCTGTGGAGTGGGCTTCCTGACCCCATCCATGCCTCACGGCCCTGTGCTCTCCTAGGTTGCTATGCGGCCCTCTATAGCTGGGCCTAAGCTGTAGGAGGACAGGTGACCAGGTCCCTAATTCTGGAGGTGTCTGCGATCCACACCCTGCACAGACAGGAAGAGGACTGGTCACTTCCAGTGGGGTAGCACCCCCTTCTCCCCGACAGTGGCTTTCAGTGTTCAGGATTGTGACTCATGATGACACGTGTTAGGTCTTGACCGAAGGCACACACGTGTATGTAGGAAACAAAGCCAACATTTCCTGAAACTGCTCACCATCTGGGATATATCCCAAGTCTGGTATTTTCTTATTTTCCTTTGCATTTTTTTAAAAAGTGCTGCTCAGGACCCAATGGTCTCAGTTTAAGAGCCATAGCTTTGCTGGAGATCCCCAAGGTGCAGAGAAAACTGAGAGCTCCACTCAGATTTACTGTTCACAGTGTTTTTACTGGTACTGGGGATTAACCTGGAGCCTTCACAGTGAGCCTCATCCCCAGCCCTATTTTATATTATATTTTAAGACAAGGTCTTGCTAAGTTACCTAGTTGCCCAGTGTGGGCTCAAACTTGAGATCTTCCTTCTCAGACTCCTAAAGTGCTGAATATTTTAAACTCATTAATTCAAATTTCTATTTTGTGTATTTCTTATAAGGTAAGTATATATTCTGGTTTGCTACATACATTTAAATTCATGTATCTATTTAATAAATTACACGAGTATAACATAAATACCCTAATGTGTGCTAGAAGACATTTGTACCTATTGGAGGCACTCCCGCAGCATTTCGCACAGGGATGGCCTGGCTCTGGATCTCCTGGCAAACATGCACTTCCTCTACTTCTTTTCTTCTTTACTGTCCTTGTTCCTCATTTGCCTGTGACCTATGACATCCAGGGCAAAAGGGCTGTGACAGTGTCTCCAGTCCTGTCTCTGAGGTGGCCAGCAGTGTGTATGCCAAGGCCGGAGGGAAGGGTCACCCGAGAGAAGGGTTCAAGCATCTACAAAGAGAGCCCTTCACCAGGTTCTCGGGCAGTGGGGCAGAAGGGCCTCTGTGCTCTGCCCTTTGCTAAGAAACCTGCATGTAATTTTGTCACAACACCCTCTTGGGGGATTTCTTAGCAATGAGCGAGGTTTTGGTATGTTCTTAGTTCAACAAAGAGCTAAGACTCCTGGGGTCTTCCTCCCTGTGGCTTGGTCCTGAGCTGAGGGAAATTTGGGGCAGGAAGGGAAAAGGCTGAAGGGGACAGGGAGGGAGGAGCCAGTTCCTGCTGGGCATCAGGGTGTGTGTTTTGGCCAGTGGCCTGTAGGCGCGGAAGCCTGGGGCTTGTTGATGTTTACCACTAGACAGTGCTGAGTGGGGATCCTTCAGGGTGGTCTTTCCTGGACCCTGCCAGAGGGAGACCTGGCCCAGGGTTTGCAGATGGACTCACTGCTCAGCTGGCTACAAGACATCTGCAGAGATGCTCCGGAGGCCCAGGAAGGTGCTGTCCAGCAGATGTGCTGCCACCAAGGTCTGTGTGTCACTGAGAGCACAGATGGAGTCCTCAATAAGGTGAGGTATAGCCCATAGAGCCCAGAATCCAGGATGAGGTGGGGTGGGGTCTGCACTTCCTGCTGTCCAGCATCAGCTTTCATGGACACCCTGTGACAGTCCATAGTGGCCAGCATCTGAGAGGAAACTGTCCTCCCTCTCCTCCAGGGTCCTTGCCTGTCCCATTAGGCAATTTCCCAGGCAGCAAAATCCACCCTGTGTTGTCCCTGGTGCAGGATCTGCCTCCTTTGAGCATTTGTTTTCTAAAATCACTTCTGTCTTCGGCTCACAGTGGCAGCATGACCACTGCCTGGGTCCCAGGGACAGAGCAAGGCTGTAGGCAGAGCGGGGAGACACAATGGTGGGTACTGAGTAGTGTGGGCCACACAGGGGTTTCCCAGGTCATTGGGCAGACATCGCCCTTGGGCCTTACCATTTCCCAGCCCAGCTTCTAGGGCCACTTACCCTGTGAACGGCTGAGTCTTCCTAGGCAGGGCTTCCCCAAAGGGCAGCAACTGCTCCTATGGCAAGGGCACCAGGAGCATTTGTTGAATGAATAGAAGAGTGTGTTCAGAGTGATGGTATGGGAACTGGTCAAGCATCTCTTATCTGAAATGCTTTGGGCTGCCAGTGTTTCAGAGTTCAGTTTTGTGGGTTTGGAATATATGCACAGACATTACTGGCAAATCACACCAACCAGGAAACTGACTCTTAAGGCTCCAATACCTGGCCTCATCAGGGATACTCAGCCTGTGTTACCAATATCTAGAGTTCAACGTGCAAGAAATGAAAGCCTGGAGATGGTACCAGGCCTGCAAGGCCCCATGAACCCGGAGCACGTTCACACTACATAGGTGGCAGCTAGGGTCACTGATCTCACTGTCACCATCCCACTGACAGGATCATGCCATCTACCTTGCTGACCTCTGTCCTCATCTGATCCAGTGTTCCTAGGAGTGTAAGGTCAGGTCTTGGCCCCAAAGGGAGCCCATGGAGCAAGAGGGTGGTGTCCGGGACATTCTCATGGGAAGTGAATAGGTGCATTGAGATTCTTCAAGTGACCATGCCTCCAGTCATGGTCACCAGTCCTTTTCGTTGGCAAGTTTTTAATTTTTATTTTTATTAGTCCACATTTGCAATACATAATGATCACAGTGCTCACGGGGAGTTAGCACATGCACACAACACATCTTCATTCTTTTTTCATCCCCTTTGTTCCTTTTCCTCCCCCTCCTTCCATCCCTTGGTTCTTTTCCATTTGCAGAGGACTCTCTCCCCATTTCCTATTAAGATGAACGTGTCTTCTAGTTCCATTAAAAAAAAGAAGATCTGTGGGACATGGAGGGTGCAGCAGGGCCTTTTATGGCCCAGGGCACTCGCCACCTCTCCACACCAGGCCTTCAGCCCACATTCACCATGCAGGGACCATCCCAGTCCCTGGCTGTGGACCTTTACCCTGGTGGACAGGACTGTGGAGGCTGAGGCTCCACAGACTGGAGGTGGAGAGGAGAACATCATCAGCCCATGCAGGAGCCATGCAACTGGCAGAGGAGGAGGACTTGCGAGGCTGACAAGAGGCCTTCTGATGGAGACGGCACTGGGGCCACCAGGCACAGGGCCAGCTCTGCAGTGTGATCACTGGAACCCGCTGGGAAGAGGTGAGCATTCCTGGCCTGGTTTTGCCCCAGGAACTGTCACAGAATGGCTGCCATTCTCTGCCCAGCAGCCTAGCCTCCAGCTGAGTGGTGCCATCTCTGGGTTGGTATGGAAGGAACAGTGTGCACATGTTGAGGACTTCGGGATGAGACCTTCCCAACTGCTGCAGCAAGGACCTCACAGCAGGAGGAGAGGCTGGCACTCAGCCTGCTGTCTCTGGAGTGAAGAGTAAACAGGACACAACCAATCTGCTTCTTACCCAGAGAATCATACAGGGAAGTGTGTGGGTTTAGCAGAAAGAAGGTGCTGCCTCTCTCTGGGAGAAGTGCCAAGGTGACCTGCAATCCCCATCTGGACCCACTCAGCCCTCACTTTCTACTCCCCCCAATGGGGGAACTGTCATCCCCCATTTCCTTCTGGACATAGGGGCCTCCCTATCCCAAGGGCCCCCTTCTGCTGTTTCTGGGAAGCCTCGGTCTGGAAGTCTCCACACTCTTGCTCAGGAGCTCTGCAGTATAGCCCAGAGAGCCCATGGGCCTCAGCCCCAAGTAGCTGTCCTGAAGACAAGCTGTGTGGGGTCTTTCTGGTGAAGATAGGCCACAAAGGTGCGGTGGCTGGGCTCTGGGTTTCTTGACTTGTGTTGAACCCTGAAGGGTGGGTGGAAGTGCCTCAGCCTCTCCCTCAGCTCTGGACAGAGCTTCTGAGGAGAAGGAAGGGATCTGGCAGACACTCACCCATCTACGTATGGTACATTTGTTCAGCTCATCTTGTGGCAATAACCCTGGTATGACCCAGCATCACATTGTCTACCTGGCTACCCTGCACACGATAAACAGTTCTGTCTCCTTTATTCTTGTAAATCTCTGCAAATTCCCCTAGCAGGTATGCATTAGACTGAACCAAACATACTTGAGGGAAGGGCTACAGTAGACATCATGAGTGAAAGTGTCCTCTGAGAGAGAAGCAGATTACACAGCTGCTCTTGGAGGGTGACCAGACTCACCATCCGATGATCCGGGGTCCTGCCAAATGCTACCCAGCCTCAGGGACCAGTTCCCAGGGACCCATACCGTGCCACCCAGACAGTGGCATTGCTCAGAGAGGCCCAGCTGAGTGTTCATCAAGGGGAGTCTGCACCCTCTCCTTTTCCATTGTACCACCCAGACTAGGTGTTGTCAAAGGCTGATTCCATTGTGAAAGCACTGGCTGTCTGGTGGGACAGGTGGAGGTGTGGGAAGAATCTTGGCTCAGTCATTGCTGAATGGCTGTTAATTCCTGGGTACCTGGCTCAGGGCGTCACTGCATAACTCACTCAGGCCACCTGCCTTGGAAAGGGCCTATGGAGGGAGCACTGTCCTAGTGGGCACAGGGACAGTGGGGCTACTGTTCTAGTGGGTGCAGCCAGCAGGGCTGGCCAAAGCTTCCTTTTCTCTTGGGCCCTGGTCCATCTCTTTGGGGCTGTAAGTCACCCCAAATGTCAAAAACAGTGGTGGCCAAGGAAGGGGCCAGCGTGGAAAACCCTCTGTTCTGTGAGCCCTGCCATCATCAGCTCCCAAGGAAACCTTCCATGAACCTGCCCACTTGTACAGGAAGCCAGAATGAGAAAGACCCCACTGGTGCGACCACTGATGGTTCCTAAGTGGGAATGTGGCAGGGAGTGCTGAGTGAGCACGGCTGGTGACAGTCACCTAGTGATGCCCTGTCCCCTTCTCACCCAGCTCAATGACTCTGCCAAGCAGCTCATCGAGATGGACAAGCTGTGTCCCGCTGCCGCAGCAGCATCCAGCTGTGCTGTTCCCTTGCCCTCCAATCCCAGTGTGGTGGCCAGTGCAGGCTCTGGCCCTGCAGCAAGCAGCTCGGGGGCTGTCAGTGCCTTTCAACGGCGCATGGACAGCAAGAAGAACGCCAAGAAACGCCATTCCTTCACGGCGCTCAGCGTGACACACAAGTCTTCACAGGCAGCCACCCACAGGCACTCCATGGAGATCAGCGCCCCTGTGCTCATCAGCTCCAGTGACCCCCGTGCTGCAGCCCGGATTGGGGAGCTCACACACCTGCCCTGCTCTGTGCCTGCCCAGGTAAGGTATCAGCCTACAGTGTCCCTGGGATCTCAGGGTCATCCATGGCTGTGTCTAGTAGTCCCAATCCTGTACCAGCATGAAGGTATCTGGAGCTGCCCTGAGGAGGATGGACTTCCTCCCCTGCCTGACCTCCCTCCACCTGCCGGTGATGTCAAGGTCCTCCTCTACCTTCTGGGCATGCTAGGCAGAGCCCTGCTGACTCAGGCATACCATGGGCTGATGTCAAGCCTCACAAGTATCCCTTTAACACAAGAAAGGCCAGAGCTTGAAACCAGAATTGACCACACCTCTCTGTGCTTTTATCATGACCATTTCCACAGATCCCTCTGTTTCTAGACCCAATGCTGATTCCACGTCTGCTGGTTTCTTTGTAGATTTGAGAAACTAGACTGAGGTGTTCCAAGGATATATACAAAGTCATTGCCTGCAGTTTTGGAAAAACCTAACACAGTGGAAAATAAAGGCTGAAGTTGCAGACCCAGGTCAAGGGTGGGATGCTTGATGCCCACAGAGGAGCGGACGAGCCTTGCTGGGCAAGACCTCAGGGCAGGTGGAAGGGCCTGATGGGCACAGCCTCCTCCCCAAACCCAGCTCAGGGTGCCAAACCTGTGCAAAAGTGCATGTGGGTGCTGTACCTTCCGGAGGCCCATCTGCAGTCGAGCTGTGCATTTCCCCTGGGGCATGGCTGACTGCCCTTCCCCTGCTGGCACAATGGTACCCTTCTGTGGGCCAAACTAAGGAAAAAACCAATGGCTGGGAGAGAGCTGACATTATCAAAGGCTAACTCAGCTAGCTTTATGTAGAGTTTTCTCTAGAAAAATAGAATAACTGAGCTAGAGAATGGTAATTTGCTTTCAGTGTGGACATTAGCCTAAAAACACCCCAATACTCATGTGCACACACACAGGTGCACACACACATCCACATGTACACATACCCTTGCACTCATCCATGCATGGGCATACCTACTCATTGGCAGGCACATACATACATGACACACACTGGTTCTTACCCTAGGCTGGCTTCATGGTCTGCAGTCGTGCCTCGGTGTCTGCAATATTTGCTAGCTGTGACCCCAGGCTATCTGCTGCTGCACCCATGCTCTCCAGAGAGCTGTCCTTGGGCTGCTGCTTCTGGAAGGGGAGGTGCAGCTGGTCTGGGCCCTCTGAACTGGGCTGACCACCTCTGGCTGTCATGGGGCACCTGCTGGTTGCACATTCCTGTGGGGACACAGCCTGGCCCATACCCTGCTGTGTGCAGAAAGACCAGACTTCTCCAGGACAGTCTTGTGTGCTCTGTGCCCAGTCTCCTGGGGATGCAGAGGTAGAGGCCTCAAAGACCTTGCACAGCTACCATGGTGGTGCTAAGACCTGGTAACACCCTGGAGTCCCTTCTGGTACCTGTGCTGATGTGGACAGTTAGACAGCTGTCTGTAGCAGGGTGCAGCCCTTCACTTGCCTGCTCTCCTTGCTCCTGGAGCATCATGGCCACCCTCATTGCAGTCAGGGACCCTCATTAGCTGAGGGAGGAAGACCTCCTTTCCCATCTCAGCCAGAGGAAGTACTGTGGCCATTGGGCAGTGCCCACCTCATTGTCCTGCAGCCTGCAAGGAGGCACCCAAAGCTTACTCTTTTGCTGCTTTCTGGCTGGGTGGGGCCACATCCTGGGGCAGGGACCCCTCTTCTGTGTTTTCCTTGTGCTTGGGACATGAGCTTTACACAGGCAGATGAAGGATCCCAAGTTCCTCTTCCCCTCACCCTCCTGCCCCCCCACCCCTGCTGCCAAGGTCTCTGTTGGCACAGCAGGCCCCTCACCTGGCTCCACACTCCCCCTGCTGCACAACATCCCAGGGGCAGGAAAGAGACAGGTTTGTGTTTTCCATTTGTGCAGCACAGTGTTCCACAAGCATTTGATTAGCTGGTTGTGGGGCTGGGATCCTGGGATCTCTCTTCCAGTCCTTCATCCTAAAGTGAGCAGGCATGGATGTCACATCCTGGCAAAGGGCAAGCCACAGCGTATGTCCCAGCCTCATGTTGTTGAGCCACTCTGATTAGGAGTTCTGAGAGCTGTGGGGGCCCAGGCTGCTGTAGGTCAGAGGCCAACCCAGTTCTTCCCTGCCCCCTGCCTTGGCCATGTGCTGGGCTTTTAAAGGAGGATAGGAAGAGCAGAAGAGGAGAGGAGGAAGCCACAAAGAATTGATGGCCCAGACAGCCTGACACATTCACCTTCTGGGCTTCAGAAAAGGGCTTTGGGCTGAGGCTTTGTGAATGTTGACACAGAAAAGGAAGAAAAAGCCACCATAGGAAAATAAAAAAAATAGCAATCGGTTGAGGCCAATAGCTAAAGACCCAGGTCAAGTGGTAATAACTCAAACAAAACAGGAGCAGGGAAGCTGGTCTCTGCCACTGCTGAAGGCCTGTCAGCTCAAGAGCCTGTCACTCAGGTTTAACCTGTAACTTTTCCAACTCATCCAGTCAGGATCCTGTGTTCCATCCACACAGACCCACTGCCTCTTGCCACCTGCTCATCCCTCACAAGACCTTGTCTTCCTGCTGCCCCTTGGCCTCATCATCTGTCCACCCTGGGTCACGCAGAAACACTTCTGTGGACTCCTGCTCACTCCTTGGCCATCTGAAACATCCCCTTCTCCTGAGTAACACAGTTGGGTTGTTCTTCTGTACTCTTTTTGCTGTGGACTGGAAGGAACACACTGGGCTGGCTAGCTTCACTACTGAAGGTCTAGGTTTTGCTTATCTGAGCTGAGGACCAAGCAGCTCTACATCATGGAGTGATGGGGACGCTTTTTGGGAATCCATGGTTAACAGTCTCATCATCCGGCAAACATCATGGACCAGAAGTTCAGGCTAAGCATAATGTAGCCACTCCATGCGGTCACAAAATGAACACAGGACACACCAGACACTGCCAGTGTAATGTGCCATCTATGATGGAGTATGTTATTTTACACATGGGAGAAGCACTCTCAAATATAGTTAAAAGGCACACAAATGAAAAGCAAATAGACTGTGAGGATCTGGTCCAAGAGGATTTTCTTTCTGAAAACCTGGAAATAGCTGGGCCTTTGTAATGATCAGCCATGGCCTGAAAGTGGAAAAAGAGGGCACCATGGCCTGGGAGTAGAGACCTCATGCCCTGAATCTTGTGGAATGCCAAGCTCTTTACCTGCACCACTAGTCCTGTTCCCTGGGCTGTCTGCTGGCACAGGCAGGGGACAAAGGTCAGGCACATCAGTGAAGCTTCCTGGTATCCTCTTGGCATGGGATAAGACACTGCAGCTCTGACTGGGCACGTGCTGGCCAGGAAGACGAGGTGAGCTGGCAGATCCCAAGTGAAAGCTGTGTCCTATGAGACACAGAGGGGCTTGTCCTGGGACCCAGCTTCAGGGACACACTGCCAAGAGGTGAACAGAGTTTGTGCTGCTGAGGGTGGGCAGCAGGAAAGGCCATGCACCTGCACAGGAACACAGAAGATACCAGTTCAGGAAGGGCACCCAGGGCTGTGGGTCAGCTTCCTCCAGAGTACCTGTCTCCTGGCTCAACTCACAGCATGAGGTGGGATTGAAGGGCTTCCTCTTATCCTGCATCCTGATGCGTCCCCTTTTGTGAGCCCCCTGACCTGCTGCCCCCTGTGCTCTCACATCCAGGCCCTCACCACATCATCACCATCCGTATGACCCACCTATGAGTCTCATGGAGCAGAGTGGCTCTGAAGGGTGGGTGAGTGGTGCCACAGTGAACTAGGTCCCTCCTGTGCACTTCCTGCCTGGAAGCAGGACAGCCAGTCACTCCATGCAATGAAGATAGTGCCTTCTGTGGACAGAAGGATGGAAATGCCTCTATCTGATGGACTCACAGGAAACACCTCTGTGGTCTACTACCCAGCAACCTTTGTCCCAGGGAGAGAAGGCAAAGAAGAACCTGGGGATGCAAACATTTGTGGCTCTTCTCAGGGCAGAAAAACTTGGTTCCAAATGGAAATTTGCAAAGCCCCAGACAGGTCCTGTGGTTTCCTTCACAGACTTCACCTTCCTGCTATGATGTTCTGGGGTTTTCACTCCCTCAACTAGAGTTTTGAGGGTGCTATCTTCCCCCAGCCCCTTCTACCTCCTTATTCTCCTTAGTAACATTGGGGGACTCCTCATTACACCATTGGCTACATGTGTGCCTTGTGGTCTAAACTCGTGGCCCAGTAAGGTAGGGAGAAAGAGCAGCTACCCTCCCGTGACAGACCTCAGTGCTGAAGGTTTCAGAGCCTATGGCCTGTGGGCCCTGCCCTCTCCTGTCATTACAGCCAAGGACAAAGACTATATAAACAAGGAGGACAGCTGTCAATAAAACTTTATTCATGAGACACGCAGGCTGGAGACATGGGCTGTGTATGATCCAGACCTTGGTGTTTACACCTCAGGTCCCTGAGCTAACCTGGAGTGCTCAGAAGAGAATGTTGAGATCATCTCTGTCTTAAGCTGTGAGTAGATATGGAGCTTCATGGGCCTCTGCCCTGCCCTGGCCTCTGGCACATAAATTATTGTCATTTTTTTACAGAGCTAAGGGGAGTGAAGCCCTAAATGCCTCATTTGGAAGTTTCCTCTGGGAAGCAAGTCTGAGAGGGTTGGATTTTTACTTGCATACTGGAGTGGTCACGAGCAATGAATAAGACATGTGAGTCATGCACTCCTTTGGGCAATGGAAGTGCTTTCTGGGCACATATTAAAAATTGAAATACTAAGATGCTTCTTCAAGATCTTTATCAGTAAAGCCCCTTTGCTGCCTGCCAGCCACACCCCTTTCCCTTTCACTGATCCCCAGCACCACAACGACATGGCCTCCAGACTGAGGCTGCTTAGGGGTCTCTGGCATCAGTAGGACCAGAGGATTTGGGTTTGGGTGGGGAATCAGGAGCAGGAGCTGGAATCCACCCAGGCACCATCAAGAAGGACAGCCCTATCCTTACTGATGGGCAGCCTGGAATTTATCTGCTGAGCCACTGTCCCATTGCGGGAAGGGGTATGGGTGCCAGGGGACTTTGGGGCAGCTGAGTTCTGCTGCCCCTGGAGCCCTGGGGCTGGGGATGGTGTAGCATCAGTGTTCCTTGTGTGCTATGCTGTCCCCCTGGAGGATGCCTTGCCAGCCCTGCCTGTGTTGGGCACCTACGAGAGACTCCTAGCCAAGCTTTTACATACTGCTTCAGAAGGACTGCTGGATGGTTGTTCTCGAGCAGACTCTGGCACTGTATCCTCTCCTGAGGTGCCAGCTGTTTGTCTTGGGCTGCCTGAGCAGCCCAGCAGTATCCCTCAGGGAGCCATTTAAGCAGAATATGGCCATATCACAGCTAAAGACCTTTCCCGTGCAGGGGCTGGTGGGCACAGTGCCACAGTGAGCAGGGCTGCTCTTGGCTGTGAAGCTGGAGGCAAGGTTTCGACCGGTGATTCTGGAGCCAGGACCCACCTGTTGCAGGGCTGAGGCCAATTGTTTTTGTTCCAAAGCAGCCGAGGCCCTTTCTCCTTTCTCATTTTATCTTTGCCTGACTCTTCCCCTGCCAAGTCCTCACTAATCCTTCAGGCCCAGAATGGTGTAAATGAAGCCATTAGGATCCTAAACAGAGTAGAGCTGCTGAGCCTGGGCAGAAAGCCAGGCTGAAGTCAAAGCCAAAGACACCAGACACCCTGGTGTCACGTGGATGAGTCTGACCCCCTCCTATCCTGCTTCAGAGGTACATGTGACACGAGTCTGTGGAACTCATGTTTGTCGTGTTGAACTCATGGCACCCATGGTTGCTACAGCTTCACCCCCCATGGCTTCCAGTCACCCACAGAGATGGCACAGGTAGAGCCAGGAAGACAGGATGCTCCATCAACTTAAACACATAGATGTATTTGTTTTGTTTTATTTTGGGTTGTTTTGTTTTGTTTTGTTTGGCACTGGGGATTGAACTCTGGACCTTGCACTTGGGAGGCAGGCTGCAGAACCACTGAGCTAAATCCCCAGCCCAGAACACATAGATTAAAAAAAAAAAATTGTCCCAAATCTTAACTCCCAAAGAACCAGTGCTGTCACTGATGTGTGTCTCCAGACTTGCCACAGAAAAACACAGGCACTTTCAGGAAGGCAGTCACTCTTCAAAACACGTCCCTGATTCTCCTTTCATTCCCACAGCCCGCCTGCCCGCCCGCCCCCCTATCCTGAGCTGCTCCCGGCCTGCAAGCTTCCACCCTGGGACATCTGGATGCTTTAGCTGTTCAGGTTTTTACCATTATAAATGGTGCCACAGTGAAGTCCCTGTCTGTGTTTCCATCTTGCTGGGTCTATTATTTATGCTGCTACGTCTAGCAGATTGTTCTCCTCTGTCTCTGTATCTCTCTGGATCAGAGAGAAGCCCAAGTAGCAAAACCTGGGCTGTGTGGGATTGGCACTCACTCACAGTTTGGTTATTCTTCTTGTAAGATGAGCAGCACCACCATCCTCCCCACACATGAGCCACAGCCCTCAGAACCCAAACTCTAACTTCTCTGTTGCTGACAGAGCAGAAAGGAGAAGCCAGGTAGCTGCCTCTGAAGCTGGAGCTCTCCCAGTAGACTTTAGACAATGTGGGGTCTTCTCACAGGTCACCAGGGAAGGGAGGTCCTGGATACAGGGATGGAAAGAAGGAGGGCCTCGAGGCTAGGTTCAGAAGGGAGAGAGGTCCTGGAGATGAGGACAGGAAGGAAGGAGGTCCTGGAGATGGGGATGGGAAGGGAGCCTACAGTAGTTGCCTTGGAGACAGGGCTGTGTCCCTGTTGCTGGTCTCACTGCCATCTCTCTTGTTGATCAGGAAGGAGGGAGGGTTTTTCCGTGATGGAAATGGCAGGTTATGCTGTTTGTTGGCTTTGGGGCACTGTTCTTCACACTCAGGGCAGAATAGGCAGGTGACCTGGGCTGTGGTGCTCATTACAGAGTTGTTTGAGGGGGACTCAGCTTAAACCTATGCCTCCTAGAGTCTCTGTCATGACAGGACAGCTGCAAGGGAGGATGACAAGGGATGCACAGTTGAGTGGCCAGGGGACTTGGAGACAGCACTGGCTCTATCAGTAATGCCCTTGGCTATAGCACGCATATCCAGGCTTGGTCCACCTGACCTGTGAGTGGATGACTGGTCATGGCCATGGACACATGTGTCCTGTAGAACAATGTGACCCCTTGAATCCATTGGTCTGGGGGAGGTGCTTCTCGTGAACACTGCCACCTGCTGCCTACCACCAGCCTCTTACTGTCACCTAGCTAGAAGCTCCTGTGGATGCCGATTTTAAATAAGCTGTGTCCTTTAGTATGAAAGATTGTGTCTGACTTTCTTTAACAGAGACAAGAATAACTAACTTGGGTCTGAGACCAAGCCAGACCCTCTCCCCTGATGACCAAGGGGGGCTCAGAAGGGTCTGTGAGTGCTCCTTGGTGGCAGGTGTCCTGGCTGCCAGCTCCAATGGGCCAACACCTAGATGATAACTTCTGGGGAAGGTGTGCAGGGCCCCCATGGCCAGCCTGCTTGTCCCCCTCCTCACTCCTGTCTCCTCTTATCTGTTTCCAGGACTCCTGCTCGGCTGGACCTGTCCCTGCAGCTGTTCCAAGAGCCTCTGCAGTGGCTGGAGAGCAGGGCACGTCTCCCAAAGTCCCGCTGCCCCTGAACGTGTGAGCGTCCCCTCCTGCCTGCCAGGTCCTCCCTCTGGTATCCCGTGCACACACATGGCAGTTGCACATGTGGCTCCTCCTAGGGTTTTCGGGGGGTGACCAGTGCAGTTGCGTACATCTTCAAGGATGCCCAGAGGATGAAACACAAGCCTGGCAGGGTCTGTAAAGACATTGTCCCTGGGAGTAATAGTGTAGGAATGGCAGCCACCACAGCCCAGAGCAGGCTCCAGAGTCTAGCTGTGGAGTGGCGTCAGAGCTGGAGGTGGCAGCCAGTGCCACTGCTGAGCTAGCCCTAGTATAACCCACAAGTCACTTGCAGAAGGGAGATGCTTATCTTATTTAGAAAATCTCTACCTGGGGATTTAGCTCAGTGGTTCAGTGGCCTGCCTTGCAAGCGCAAGGACCCAAGTTCAATCCCCGGTACCAAAAAAAACAAGAAAAGAAAGTCTCTGTTAAATTAAAAGTCTTAGGAGATACAGGCTGTTTAAAAACTCTCCATTTCAGTAGTGTCCTGAAAAATTAGGCTGCCACTGCCTCTGTGTTGGCAATGAGTTGAGCCTGGTGGGTGAATGGGTGCTTCAAGGCAGAGCTGTTTTACTTCAGCAGACAGAGGGCAAGGACAGAAAGCTCCACTGACCCAGGAGCATCACTCATTCAGAAGCTGATGGTTGCAGAATGGAATGTATTTTAGGGGGGAAAATGCTTTGGAGAATGCAGCATGCCATGCCTCCAAGATCTCCCAAGGGCTCTGCCGCGAGGACACTCTCACTAGCCACACATCAGTCTCATGTGGAGGGGAGCTCTGAGCACGTCCCTTGGCCTGCCTAACCTGTGGGGTTCCCAAATCCATGAAAGCAGGTTGAGATTCTCCAGTTTCTACCTGGTTCCCAAAAGGAATGTGGATCCGTAAGCTGCACTCCAGGCGTCTTTATGTTAAACTTGCATTTTCACCAGCACTGGGCAGCAGACAGTTAGCCCGGCTGTGCCCATAGGCTCAATCTGCATGGAACAACACCTGGGCGATGGGGGCGGGGGGAGTAGTGCTGTGCTGAACCTTGCCTGGTGTGCACATGGCCCTGGGGGCATCCCCAGAACCAAGAAAAATTCAGAAACTTGCAAACAGTAAAATTGGAACTTTCCTGACCCCAGCCTTTCACCAAATGTGTGTGTGTGGTGTCATTAGCCATCCAGAGATGGTTTAAAGTTGGCATTGTTTTGTGAGGAAATCAGAACCTACAGGTCACCGTGTTCACAGTGCCTGTTGTTTTCTGGGCCCTCTCCTGAATCCACTCCTGCAGCCTCCTTGCATCAGGCGCTGGAGAGACAAGAGGGAAGTGCACTCAGGACAGTGCCCCCCAGGAGGAGACCCATGTCCCCAGGGGTGGCCCCCAGGTTCTTCCCCACAGGACAGCAGGGCACAGGCCAGGTGACAAGATTTCATCCTGGCTCTGCAAGCTGCACATGGACTCCCTGGCCCCTGTGTGGAGGGCGCCCTCCTCTCCATGTCAGCTCCAAGAGTGTCTGTCACTCCCTAGGAGCTGGGAATATGTGGACATGCCTCCATGTCCTAGACAGCTCTCGACTTGGTGAGAGTAGAGGTGACCTCCCAGTCCCCCTGCCACAAGATGAGGTCACTGGGACCCTCACCTCCATTCACAGCTTCTGTTTAGCTTGAGATTGCATCTGAGTAACAAGGAGGGACACTCATGGGTCAGAGAATGTCCTTCTGAGGATGACAATGACTCTCATGACTCTGCATGATGCAGCGGGGTCATGGCAGCAGCCCTGTCATGGTGGGAGTGGCCCTGTGACTGTAAGGACATCTGTAGCTGTTTGAGCTATGCTCAAGCACAGGCTGGAAATCTCACACACCTCCAGTGACATGTAGAGTCCGTTCTGAACATCACATTCGCTGTTTTTCCTAGGGAGCAAAAGGTCCTTGCTCCTAGTGTAACAGGTCCCATACTGACCCTTTTCCCCTCTTTATCTCTGAGAAGCCAGTGATCCCATGGGTGCTGGGGGCAGACTCCAGGACAGGGGTGCAATTATTCCTTATTGGTTATTTCCCCAAACAGATTCCATAAGTCACATTCAAAGTCTTAACTTGAACCTAGATGCACTGTCTGCACAGAAACAACTGCAGCATGCTGGCAGCCTTGGGGTACAAGCCACAGCCAGTGGGCTGGCCATCTGTCATAGAATAGCTCTGGGAACCCCGTGATCCTCCTCACTGTAGGGCTTTGCCTTCTGCAGCTGCATCCTGAGCCTTGGGGCTTGTGTAGGGACCAAGAGGCGCTGCTGGCAGAAAGATCTGTGCTCTGCCCCTGTCCTCACATGCGAGGTCCCTAGCACTGGTCTTCTGGTCATCTGGTCTTCTTGCCCTATGCTGGACGCTCTTGGGATACACCCTACTGTTTCAGAGACACCATCCCACACCTCTATTTCTTTTCATGGTGCTGGGAGTTCTCCCTGCTATTCTACCTTTTGCCCTTGCCACTGTCATCCTGAGGCCTGTAAGCATCCAGCCAGGACCACACCTGAGGATACTGTACCCCACAGAGAAGGAAAGCGGGGCTCCCCAAGGCCATTTTCTTGCTTGTGCTTGAGACGTGCCTGCTGGGTCCTCCCCAGGAACACAGTGGAACCCAGATCTCAGACACAGACTGTAGACTTGTCAGGAGCCCCTGGAACAGGCAAGGAATTGGAAACTGTAGCCCACAGGTGAGTGTCCAGTGTAGGGAACCAGTGTACCCCCCCTACCATGGGCTCTGCAACACTGGGAACCTCCTATCAGAACCCATCTCACACAGCATTGTGCAGGAGCTGGAGCTCAGAAGAGCACTGCCGGCTCAGACCAGGGCTCTGCCCTCAGGAAGAGACAGTGGTAGTCATGCTTCTGAGCCTAGCATCTGGTTGCCTTTCAGCACTGAGCTTATCTGTGGGGCTGGCATTAACCCTGTACAGATCTGGACCTGGATCTCCTACCATTTGTCACCTGTGGGGGGTTCCCTGTGCTCTGTTCACCTTCTGCTGATCCTACCATTAGGAGCCACCTGTAAAGGGAACAGCAGTGCTCGGCACACAAGTCCTTATGCACCAGTGGCCCTGGCAGGAACAGAGCAGAAGCAATCATCTCTGCAGGAGGGACAGGACAAAGGCTCTCCAGACAGGAGCCAGGACACAATGGGAGCAGAGTGCAGTCTGCAGACAGATCGGGAGGATGGCTGGGCTCACAAAGTGTGGATACTCAGGGTACAGAGGATGCAGGTAGGTGCTTTATGGAGCCCCCAGAGCCTGGCTGGCTGTCTGCTCACTATATACTAGGCACTGCATCAAGCACCTGTGGAGCTGAAGGTGAGCACATGCAGCCCACATGCACCTGGCCAGGCCCATGATGGCCCTGGGACCTGTGCTGGGGGGCCATCCATACAAGTTGCTGTGACTGTCACTAGAGCTGGGAAATGGCAGGTGCCAGAGGTGGCTTGCCAAGATTCAGAGGGCTGGCAGCAGTTGGAGAGAGCCGAGGCCACTCCCTGGACACAGGTGGCTCTTCCAGTGCCACGCACAAACACTTCTATTGAGTGATTCAGGGAAAACACATGCAAGTGACACCATCTCTGCTGGTGCCCCACCCCCACATGAGGTACGTGCCAAGTACTCCATTGCCTGCACAGCAAAACCTCCAACAGCCCCATCCACATTTGGTCTCCTCTCTGAGGAGAACAGGAAGGAGGAGGAAGAGAAGGAAGGAAGAGGAAAAAAGGAGTGATGGAAAGAGGAGGAGGAGGAGGTGGTGGTGGAGGAAGAAGAAGAGATAGAGGAAGAGGAGAAAAAGAAGAGGAGGGACAAGAAGAGGAGAAGGTGGTGGAGGAAGAGCAGAAGGAAGGTTTGGGGTGGTTTATTCACTCAGCAGTGTACCCCCAGAGGCTAGACCAGACCTGGACAGAGGACAGCTTGCCTATTGGAGAGAATTCACTTGTAGTGAAGATGAAAGGCCAACCTCATCAGTCCCTGTGTAGACCATGCAGCCTCCATAAGTGGGATTCACACTGCCTGCTCCCACCTGTGTCCCTCGGCTACACTGGTGGCTCCCAACCCAGACCTGGTCCCCTTCTGGATATGCAAGAGCATGGATATATTCTCAGTCTCTCAATCTCATTTTCCCCAGTAATGGAACCTTGGGGTTCCTGTGGCATACAGGCAAGGCCTTGCGTCTGCAGGTGGATGCCTGTCCTCCTCAGCCCCACTCTGTCTCTCGGCGGCCCTGTCCATGGGCTCAGCTCTGCACAGAACACAGGATAAACCAAAACATGAGGGCTGTCTGCACAGATAAATAGAACTCTCCGGGCTTCCCTCTGCCAGGGAGCTGGCATCCTGCCAATGAGGCTGAATGTGGCACAAAATCTGAGTCCTGCTAGCCTGAAGGACAGCTCTCACACACTGTGCCTCAGGAAGTGGTACAGCCCTGCTCCGGTGTCTGCACACATGGGCTGCCCCCTACAGTGTGCTCAGTGGGCACTGAGGGCAACATGCCCAGCCAGACCTCTCTTAATTTCCTATTTTCCTGCCTATGTTATCTTATTAGGAACCATGTCCCTGCTTATTTGAAAGAATCCTTCTAAAGGTTTCCAAATGACTTGAATCCTGGATATAAAGAATCTTCATCTTTATTTTGATGGGAAGGCTAGAAACACGAAGTCCTCATCCCAGTAAATGAACAGGAATCCTACCAGAGCGAGTGAAGGTCATCAGCTCCTCCCTGAGCCATGAGCTCAGCGTCAGCTAGGCCGTGGGCATTTGTCACCTCTGCTGACACTTGTTCTTCTACACAAGGTGGATTCCCATCTGAGAGGCAGATGCTAACTGTGTCCATGGAGCTGGGTGGACCTGGTGAGGTTCACAGCAGGCCCCATTCATGGCTCCACACTCCCATGCCTGTGCCCACACAAGGCTGGCTGAACCTCAGTCTCAAACTCAGGGCTCTTGTTTTATTTTTCCTTCAACAAATGTTCCTTGAGAATCTGCCCTGTTCCTGAGACTGAGGAGGTGGCACTGAGCTGGCCTTACAGAGAGTTCAGTGCGGAGGGGCTGAGTGCAAGTGCCAGGCAGAGAAAGCAGAGGTGCTTGGATCCTTGACCCTGAAGGAGCAGCTGGGCCAAACAGGCCAGACAGGTCCTACCCTTCCCTACAGCTCCAGGACAGAAAGTATGACCCCAACAGCCTGGCCTTCAGTCCGAGGTGTCCCTGGAGAAGGACACAGCAGGGCTGAGGTGTGGGCCAGTCCACAGGCCCTGGCTAGAGCACAGCATGGCGCCAGGCTCCTTGTTCAATAGACCAGTTATCCCTGAATGCAGCACCTGAGAGTCTATCCCCTCACCCTCTCGAAGACACCAGATACGAGGGAGGCGGGAGCTATACTTGGACATTTTACTGTGGCTGAGTAGAGGTGTCAATGATGTGACAGACTGGGTGACTCTAGCGGGATTCACACTTCAGTTACACTCCTGAGGGCAGCGCCTGGTATGTATCATTTCTGTCATCTCTGCTGCCTCCCACTGTGCAACCATCACTGCCCCCTCCTCTCCTTTTCCCCAACCCAGCCCTGTAGACCCACACTGCTCAGAGGAGATGCCATCCTCACCCACCATCCTCTTTCAGCATCCTCTGTGGCCGTCACACCCTGGCTGTCTGTTACCTAGGCTGGGGGAACATCATGAATCTGTATGAGGTTCCCCTGATGGCTTTCTCTCTGACTGCTCCTAACTGTCTCCATGGGGAAGGACTGGATGTGATGTGATGTCCCTCGGGATACTGAGAGCCAAGGCTGCACATACCCTTTATATCCTTACAACAGAGGGCCTCACACCTGCAGGATTGAGATGTTGGACATGGGTGGCAAATTGTATTTTAAGACCAGTAAATCTTCAGTGTCAACAGGGTTCTAATTCTGTTCTAGAATATTCCTCAGAATGAGGGTGTAGCTCAGTCACAGAGCCAAGTGTGAGGCCCTATATTTGATTCCCAGCACCACAAAACACAACTTGTCTTTAAGGTATTCCTCTTCTTTGGGTTTGTCCCTCAGGAGCTGGGTCTTAATTCTGTTTCTGCCTCTTAAGAAGGCCACTCCTAGAGTCAGGGTGCTGTGCAGTCCTTGGGCCCCAGAGACCTGTCTTGCAGGAGCCAAGAGCCCACAGCCCCCAGGGAGGTTGGCTTCCCCACCAAGCAGCCATTCCAGGCACCAGATCCTGGAGACACCTCTCCTGAAATTCATCTCTCACTTCTTGTCGGGCTGAGGCCCCACCAACCAGGCATTCCTAGACTTCGACAAGTTTATCCTTCCCCACCAGTACTCAGAAGACCCGGGTCAAGGGAACTTTGGTGTGTTCCCAGAGGGGCTTGCCCTTAGGGCTGTAACTGACAAACGCCAGGCCAGGGTTGCTCCACTAAGTCAGCCTAAAACAAAAACAGAAGTTGTTGTCCAGATGTGGCAAGGAAGTGAACACCAAACATTCTCAGTGGAGGCCACTGTTCTGCAGAAAAGGCCTCTGTGCTCTCCTGGATAAGCAGGGATGTGGACCAAGCCAGGTCATGCTAATTGAGGAAAGCCTAGCTCAGGAAGCTGGCCTCGGCCTCACATTTGGTTTTTCCTTAGTGTTTCTTCTGCTCAGAGCATCAGACTCTAGACAACACGAAGCATATGGAAACATTTTGAGGTGCAAAGATGGGACCCCAGATCCAGTCCTGAGCCTTGGAGCCATAGCACACTGTGTCCACACTACAGTCCTACTCCTTTTTCAGGGCCTCCCAGGAGCACAGGGTGGGAGAGTATGTGACTCTATAACTGCAGAGGCCCCGGGGTGAGCCCCATGGGCCCTCCGTCCTGCCCTGTAGCCATTATGCCCCAGGAGGCATGTGCTAACCTGGTCCTTGTCTTGTCCCCACCTGCAGGTACCTGGCCCTCTATGCCTATAAGCCCCAGAAGAGCGATGAGCTAGAGCTGCGTAAAGGCGAGATGTACCGGGTGCTGGAGAAGTGCCAGGATGGCTGGTTCAAAGGAGCCTCCATGCGGACTGGGCTCTCTGGGGTGTTCCCCGGGAACTACGTGACACCTGTCTCCAGGTGAAGGTTGCTGCCTGGGCATGGAGGGTTTGAAGCACTGGCTGCCCATACTTTGGAAACTAAGAGGCCATGCTGAACTAGGCCTGCAAATCCTTCCTGCAGGCAGTTCCTCTGCAGCTGGGTCTGCCTGGCTCCCTTGGGGACACTGGCCATTGAGGAGCCAGACTTGGGGGAATAGAGATCACCAGAGAGCAAGGCTTCAAGTGTGCATGTGTGGTTGTGTGTCCACTCTACACAGCATGTGCAGGGCAGACAATGCACTGTGCAGCACATATGCTTGTATGTATGCATGCACATGTGCATGTGAGTGTGGTGTAGGTACATGTGGGTACTTTTGATGTATATGTGTGTGCATGTGTGGGTACTGGGGGTTCCATGTGCACATGTGTACATTTTCAGTGAGTGTGCAACCTTAATGTGTATGCCAGCATGGGAAGAGAGTTCATTTCTGTACACAGCATGTACACACAGTGTGTGGCGTAAGCACACTGCATGTACATTTGCATATTGTCTGTGAATCCTCACACAGAGTCCTATTGTATGGAAAAACACCCCGAAAATGGAAAGGTAAAGCATGCTTTGAGCGGAAGCATTATCACCAATTTAAATTTTTTTCTTTGTTCCTTCTAGTATTTTAGGAATTCTATGATATACAATGTTTGAAAAATCAGAAAGGGCAATTTTACAGATTCACTGAAGTGACCAGATTTCCCTCCAAGCAGAGGATCAGTCTTGCCCATGGCAGCCCTAGGGCTCTGCCCGGTTCCCCACTATAGGCTGTGCTGGTGACCTGAGGATCTGGCCCTACGGCTTATCTGTCCTGGGGGCAGGGGGCTATGAGGGTATTCAGTGATGCTGGGCCTTACAGGATTGCAGGTGGGTTCTTACTGTCATGGTGGCTTTGAAAGGTTCAGGAGATTAGGTTAGAACCCTGAGGTGGATACCATGGTTCAGGTCACTCTTTGATTCTTTCCACATGGTGCTGTATTTGCAGGGACAAAGGAGGCTTGTGGGAGAGGCTCTGTTCAGGTGATCTTGCCAGGGAGAAGCCCAAGAAACCTCTCATGGGCCATGGGAGGGTGCAGTTGGCCCAGTCCTGCAGCCAGGTTGGGTCTCAGGGTCTCATGCCTGGGTGATTCTCAACTCACTCGCAGCTGGCCATCACCCACGATAGAGGACAGATCCTCTATTCCTCCTGTCCTAGGAGCCCCAAGGAAACCCTGGGTGGCCTGAGGTGGCTAATAGGCACTAAGGTAGAAGCACCCTTCCTGGACATCTCCCCACCAGGTCAAGGGCTGAGGTCCCTGGCACCTCAGCCCTAACTGGTCTTCCACTCATGTCCTTTACGGAGTGGAGATAGCTCCTTGAATGCCCTCCTGTGTCTTCTCCTGGGCACAGGGTCTGGTGCCCAGAAACTATCTAGTTCCCTACTGTGGAGAGCCTGCTTCATGGTCCCTCCCATGCCATATGTCCCCAATGGCCTATTGTTGAGAGCAGCTCATGGTCACTCAGTGCACCTTTGCTCCCCGGGTTCCTTGCATGCCATCTGCAAGTACCAGGTGCTTGGTACATGCAAGTTGAGTAAATAAAGAACACATTTGATTCAAATGTTCCATGAGCTCTTTTCCCATACTGCCAGAGGATTCCCTGCAGGGGAGAGGGGATTGTTGGCCAACCCTGAGCTGTGGAACGACAGCATTGGTCCTGGCCCTCGGGGTGACCCTTCCCCCACAGCTTCTGGGCAGAGCTGTTCTGGGTGGGCACTATGGGCACATCCCCCAGGCCAGTCCTTATCCTTAAGTTCCATGTGGGAGAGAAGAGGTGGGGAGGGCAGAGCCTGTCTGCTCCCATGCCACTCATGTATCTCTGAGGGATATACTGGAGGGACAGGGACAGGAGGTTCCGGTCCTGCTGAGGGAAGATATCCCAGTACACATTGCTTCCAACCCCCAGACTCTGCCCCATCCCTCATCACAGGAGCCAGCTGTGGGTAGAATGTGGATGTGTATGGAGGCCAGATGCTCCCTGCCCCCAACACACACACAGTGGTTAGGGTCCTCTGTGCACAGCAGCCTTGCCTGGAAGCTTTAGGATGATAAGCACCTCTTTCTGGTGTGAAACTGCAAGTTCCCTGGCATCCTCAGGAGGAAGCCATACTGCCTGTTCCCTGTCCCTAACCTACACGTGATTTAGGGCATTCAGGGGACATCCATTGCTCCAGTTGTGCCTGGAGGCCACAGCAGTTGTTAGGATGAGCAAAGGCTGTGCTGTGATACTGGACATTGGGCTGAGATTGCCCTGTCCCTCGGGGCTCCCTTGTTGTTTCTTGGTCCCTTGGGAGTCAGCCCAGGTTTGCAAAGTTTGTCTTCTGCTCTTCTGGAGCACTGTCAGGCATTGTTTAGGATTTTCCTGGGCCTCCTTACCTCCATGCCTTGGGACCATTAGTGACAGTGGCTGTGACTCATCTGGGTATCCCCTAACTGGACTCTTCTTTGCTTCCTCAGGGCTCCTGGAGGAGCAGCTGGGCCACCCCGAAATAGTGCGCTTGGAGGGTCTCCTCTGGCCAAAGGCATGGCCACTACCATGCACCCTGGCGGTGGCAGCCTGAGCAGGCCAGCCCTGCCCCTCACCACACCACAGGCCCAAGCCCCACACCCAGCTGGCTCCCCACCAACAGGGAGCTGTCCTCGCCACACAGCCCAGCCAGCCACCAACCAGACCCGGGGAACTCTCTCTGCAGGTATGGATGTGGATCCCAGGGCCTCAGGGCTGGGACTCTGATAGAGGACTTTCTGGGATACACATCATAAAACATGTTTTGGCCCGGGTCTTGAGCAAGCCACCATGGGACAAGTTGACTGCACATCATAATCTTAGTCTACTGATCTCCAGGAAGTACACTTACTGTGTTAATCCTGGCAGCAGAAATGAGCTAAGGAATTCACAAATTTTATGGGTAGGTGGTGGGGGGACCTTGTGGACTAGTAAAAATAGCTTTGTACCCTGCATGCCCAGGGGAGGCAACTGGGTTGCATGGAGGCCCTCACTTGGACGAATTTCAGGGTCCCCAGCAAGGCAGCATCTAACAAGACATGGTAAGGAGCACAGATCAGAGGTCTCTTCTCTGGAAGGAAGATGGTCACATGCAATATGATCAATCCCTGGCTGGTCAGACTTGAGGAAAAAGTCAGTTTGACACCAGGATGATGTGAGAGGACATCAGGGGTGGACTTTAAGGCATCAAGAAGGTAATCACATCTTTATTGGAAGCTGAGCACTTGAGCTAAGGAGCCCTGCTGAGGCTGGGCTCAGCTGTTCCAGGTCACATGTCACATGTCCTTTCCAGTCACCACAGAAGCCACCCAGAGCAGAAATGCAGCCCAGAATGTCCGTTCCCACCACATCCTGATCCTCCTAGAAACCATTAAGTGGGGATGAAAGTCTTCTGGAGCCATAAAATGCAGGAAGTGACCCACTGTGCATCCTCAGAAAGTGGCTTCCCGGGTGTTAACAGTTGAGATGGCATAGACATAATAGAGGCTGTTTCTCTGAGTCTCAGCTGTCAGGACAAGAGGTAGGCAAGGGCCCTATCTATCGAGGCTCATTGTCCACATGCTTACCACTGTGGCCTGCATATTTGCACATGGACACAATACTCCTGTGGGCCAGGAGCACTGGTCAACCCTGCAGGACGCTGAATTGATGTGAACACATGAGGACCCAAAAGCCGGACAGGTTGGATGTCACTCTGCTGCCAGCTTATGGTGGCTCAGCAGGAGGGCTGAGGTGCAGGAGGAGGGACAGTGTGGGGGACTCTAGGGGGAAAGAAGTCCTCCCCAGAGTGAGTCCCAAAGTGATGCTCAAGCAGGGAGCAGTGAGGGGTGTGTCTGAGTCAGGAAGGACAGTCAGGAGGGCAGGAGTGGGAGACACTTTGTACAATTACAGGCACAGGGCTCTCTTCACCTGCTGCTTAGTGTGCTATGGTCCCAGGAGCCCAGACGCCCAGCAGGACAAGCACAGAACAAGACACTTTAGAGAATGAGAGGCCTTCTACACAAATGTTTCATTATGGTATCTTGTTATAGTTGTGCTTCTACCTGAAACACAGATTGCCCATAGGTCACACAGTGCCTATGGGCTCAGCACCCCACTGGGCATCCGAATGTGCCAGTGCAGGCCAGAAAGACCTGGGTTCAAAGGTAGTAGCCTCAGTTTCCCCCTTTGTGAAGCAGGAGTACACTGGCACTCCCATCCTGGGAGGTCCGTGTGAGGCCTCCTGAACCTGTCAGTTGTTGTATACTCAGTATGTCCTAAGTGCTCCACCAGTGGAGAGGAACATTCAGTGCCTGAGGGGTAGGTAAGAGGTACATAGAAATGGTTGCAAGTCATTACCAAAGGTTTCAAGGAGTCGGAAGCTCCCTTAAAAGCAGTGGAAACCTGCAAAGGGTTCTAAGACCACTGGCCTGGCAGCCTGGTAGGGGCTGCTGGAGAGGACCAGAGGAGCAGGGGCCAGCCAGTCTGGCGGGGTCAGGAGGACAAAAACACTGTTACAGTTTGTGTCTAGATATCCCCCAAAGCCTCATGAGGTCATAGGGCTTTTTCAGAGGTGACTGAATCTAGAGTGTGATGCTGGAATTAAAGGTGTGTGATTACTAAATCAGACCACTGACTGGTTTGGTACTGCCCTAATCTCGGTAGTCTGGATAAGATAAAAGGGGCAGAAAGATGCTGTTAAGGTTCGCTTGTTGCTTTGTGACCATGTGGGCACCATCAATGGTTTCTCCTCTCTGACGCCTCTCTGCTATGTGCCTTGGAGCCAGCCTATTATGGGCTGAAACCTCTACAAAGTGTGAGCTAAATAAACCCTTTCCACTTTAACTTTGGGTGTCTGGTATTTTGCCTCAGCAGTGAGAGAAAAGTAACTAAGACAGACACAAAGCAGCTCAGGAGCAGTGGCTGTGACTGAGGTGGACAGCACAGAGGTGGACAAGGAGCCTGGGCTTCAAGTCAGAGTCCAGGGCTGGGATGGGTTAACTGGGAGAGGGATGAGGGCATGCAGCCTGGAAGACACTGGAGAAAACTGATCATAGGGAAGATAACAACTGCGGTCAGGTGTGAGGTTGGGGTGTGTCATGGGTCCTGGTCCATGGGCCCAGGTGATAGGGGACAACCTCACTGTGCCAGCCTCACCTCACACAGCAGGACCCAGGCCTCACATGGGGAGGCAGCCATGCTGGTGGCTGCCCTGCAGGTGTGGAAGAGGTTGGCTTTCTGGGTGAGGAAGTCATGATAACAGTCAGCTTTTTCAGTGGCAGCAAAGTGGAGCCACGTGCCTGGTGTCCACACCCTCTTTGGTCAGGTTGGACCTCGGGTGGTGCTGGCTGCTCTGTGCTAGGCTCTGTCCAGCAGAGTGCAGTTGGCTCTAAGGATGCCACGCAGATTTCTACTGCAGTACCCCCAAGACCAGCCCTATCAATCAGAGAGACCATGGGTGGGTACTGATCTTGCACATAGCTTTCTTTTTAAATTAGCCATGTGTGCCATCTGTGCTTTTACACTTTCTGCCACAGTGTTGTCTGGTCCCAGACCCTGGTCCCCAACCCCAGCACCTTGCTTTGTGTTGATCTGTGTTCCTGTGGTGCCTGTATGGTAGGCTTCTGACCTGCACTGACCAGAAGCTTGCCAGGATGCACACCAGACAGGGCCCAGGACAGGCTCATCCTGATGTGATCTTTGTCTGTCCACCTGGCAACAACACACATGGTTGGGCATCGAGTCCTGGCAAGATAGCAGTGCTGTACCCTCACACCATGCCCTTGGCCAGCTCCATGGCCTCACCATGCCAAGCCTGCTAAGAAATCTCTCAATTCAGAAAGAAAGCTGAGCCCTCCCAGTCACTTCTCCCTCTATGTATGAACAAGAAGGAGCCAAAGAAATTGGCAGCACTGGGGCAGCACCACATTGTATGGTGGCCGCTGGCCTGTCACCATGGTAACCACTGTGGCATGGCCAGCATTCCCTTCCATCAGCTAATTTTACACTGGGAGAGAGAGGCAAAGAATGGTTAAATGGTCCCTTCCTATAACCCAACCTCAAGCTCGTCCCGCATATTGCTGTCACGGCCAGGTTATAGAATGGCTCCCACTGAGGCATGTCAGTAAATTAAATGGCCTGAGTTCCCACAGCATTTCCCACTTCATTCTGAATTTAGAGAGTGGAAAAACATTGTTGACAGGACAAGTAATGGATTGTTCCCTGCAGTAATTGCCCATTTCAGCAGACCCCAACCCGGCAGCTTGGAGGCGTTTCAACAATATTCTCATCTCACGCCCAAGGCCGGCACTTTGACAAAGGCTTAATTGCATCACCTACAGCATTTGATATGATTTGCTCTGCTCCACTAATATGACTCCTTTTCCAAGGGCAGCACACCCTGAGCTCCCTAAGCACTCCCATCAGGACTTGGCAGACACGAAAGCCCCACACGGCCATTTATTTATCAGCAAAAAAGTACCAAAAAAACTGAATACAGACAAGGGATACTGCAAAGACCTGAAAGAACAGAGAACAAGACAGAGCCCATTGCTGCCCCATTAGAGGAAAGGACATGAATTCCTGATGTTGCTGCTGCTGCTGCTGCTGTGTGAAAAGTTCTGGGGTAGAGGCATCGCCAGGTATCAAGCCAACAGGGAGGAGAGGCATCCATTCAGATCGGGAAGGAAGAGGATGGGGTGGGAACACATGTGGGAAGTGTTCAGGAGGAGGCAATGATGCCAAATCCTGGAGGAAAGTGAGGACCATCTAAGCAGAGTGGGAGGGTGATGGGCAGAGGAACCAGCAGGGGATGGGTGCTGAAGAGGACCACCATTCCCATGTTGACAGCCTGTCTGGGTTTGATGGAACTAAAATAGGTGTGAAAGGAGTCGTCCAGGGAAGAGGTGACAGTTCTGTTCAGGTGATGAGTGGGTTGTGGGCAGCTATTGGCAGAGCCAAGGCTGGTGCAGCCCCCAGGCCACAGAGGCCAGGTGCACTTGGAGATAGGGGGAGGCCCGAGAGACCCAGGCCGCCAGCCAGCAGATCCAAAAGGTCCTGTTAAACCATGGCAAGGAATTGGGCAATGGAGCACATCTTAAATAACACATATAGTCACACTTGTGTGTTTGGGACATTAAACTGTCTGCTGCCTGTGACCAAGCTGAAGTGGTGTGGACAGGGCTTACCGTCCTGCCTGAAAGAGCTGGAATAGCAGACAGTGTATAAAATGACAACTTCTGAGACACCAGGCATCAGACCACCAAGGCAAGTCATTAAACGAGGAATATCTGTGTTCAGAAGGTTAAGTCAGAGATCCTGAGAAAACCCAAAGTTCTAGATCTAAAACAGTAGTGTATGAGATAAAGAATACACTGAATGATATACATACACTGAATGGCACCCTGAGACATCGCTGGGGAAAAGCAGATGAGTGAACTTGAAGCTATAGCAATAGAACCTGCAAAAAATGAGTCAGAGATAAAGGAGAACTTTAAAAAATGCACTGAGCATCAGTGAACATTGGAAAACCTTAAGTGGTCTGTCCTATGTGTAATTGGAGTACTCAAGGTGAAGGAGAAAGAAGTGGGGCAAGAAAATAATGTGAAGAAAGAAAGTCCCAAATTGTCGTAAATTTGAAAAAACTACATGTGCGAGCAACTGGAGACAGTTACGCCAAGACAAGTCAAAATCCAATTGTTCAAGCTC